GGGGAAGATATTGTGAAAATAAAGAAATAAAATGTTCAGAATAACAGTCCATGATGGCACCTAGCCTCTAGTCCGTGCCTGGCCTTGACTCCAGACCATGCTAGGCTTCACCTTGAGGCCAGGAGACCACTCTGAAATCATCCCAAGGCCAGAAGTCCATGCTGAGGCCACAATAGGCCGAGAAACCGCTATGCTGGGCTGCTAAGAAACTTTCACGCTTAGCCACTCCGAGACGCCATGTTAGGCCAAGAGAATGCCATGCCAGATCACTGAGAGACTGCCATGCTGAGCCGCGAAAGGTATGATAAACAAAAATGCTGAGTTAGTTTGACTTCTTCATGTTGGAGCTCCACAATTAACTTGTCAAGAATAATTTGTTATTAAGTGGATGGACACTTGACACAATTACATGACATTGCTCTGTCCAATGTTTCTGACAAGTATTAAATGATTAATTTTAAATAGGACACTGTTTCTACTGAACACAATGAAGATTGTCATGTAGCATCATCTAAATTTGTCATGAATAATTTAGGGTTTATAAATCAGCAAAAATGGTTTTCCTCATTTATAATTTTTAATTGATATTTAAATTGACAGCTGATGCAGTTTATTACTTTCACAGGATCACTTCAATTTTAAACATACCCAAATGGAAAGCTGATTTTTTTTTTGTGGAATCAGGTTTGAATTTTCACGCATTGGAATGCAACTATCAGAGAGTTATTTTCTTCACTTTGACTTTTTAAAATATAATTCACTTCAATACAGTGACTTGTAGTTGGTTTATACTGAGAAAAATGGTGAAGCCATGACTGAGCCCAGTTCATGTTAACACTCAGAATAAATCTATTAGATGTTCAGGAAGTGTCAGGTTCCACTCACTGAGTTGAAATGTTGTCCCACAGAATAGTTGCCTGTTGAATGACTGTTGATGGATTGATTGGTTCTGATGTTAATATGAACTGGGCTCCCGTTGCCGATTACAACATCTCTTCTTGCTGCCTTCCTAGCAACTGACCTCCGTTACTGCTTCCAATGCCTTCTCTCCCCTCCCCCCACAAAGTGCACCACATTGCAGTGACTGAGATTTTTCCACTCTCGATTCCAAGAGCAGCTGGGATGATTCCCTTTCTTTCCACCATCTGAGGAGCAACCCACAGAATTGATTTTGGCACTTCCTAGTTACAAACATTGTCCTCAAGCTATGGGGGAGGGGTTAGATTTTGGTTTTCAAGTAATCCTTCATGGAGCAGCTTTTTTTATTCTTTCCCAGTTCTACAGTTGAGGCATATTAGAATTAGCTTTATTGTCACATGGACTCAAATAAGTACAGTGAAAAGTTTACAAATCACCACTTACAGTGCTATCTTAGGTACAAAGGTACCTGGGTACAGATTTTTAAGTACAAATTCTTAGGGGGATAAAAAGTTTGAAAAATAAAGAAATACAAAGTTCAGAATAACAATCCTTCAAATCCCGTCCATGTTGGTACCTGGTCTCAAGTCTACACCGGGCTTTGACTGATGGAGGTTCCTGCCATTATAACAAATTCACTTCTTTCAATGTGTTTTATGCAGAAAAGCCCACTAAAAGCATAGTTAGTCAGATAGTATACCCCATAAGGGGGCCTTATCTGAGAATCTTAACTCTCTCAAAGCAATGCTATCTTGAAGATTTGCTTTTGATCTCCTCAAAGGGCATTGATTGTTCAGAAGCAGTTGCAGGTTATTCATGCCTGATACAGTTGGATGTATATGTCAAGCACCAAAACAGGACTAATACATACAGTCAAAGTAACCATCATGTTAACAGTTGTTGCAAAGTTGGGTAGAGTGCTTGTGGATTGGGAGGTAGGAAGTTAGAACTTGGTGTTTGTAAAATGCTGGCGTAGGTGGGGGAGCGGGGAAAGCATTGTGTGATCCCTTTAAAAGATGATGTGCTATTCCTATGCTTAGAGATTCAAAATAGATGTCTGTGAGCAGCAGCTTGAAAAAATTTGCAAGTACACAGAGTGCAGCCGAATTGAAACATTTGTATCAAAATGCTGTACAGTTTGCAGGCCAAACAGCAGTTTTACCAAGACAGCAAGTTTTGAACTTAGCCAATCAGTTTGAACCTGGCACTTAGATACCAAAAACCAATTAAATTTAAATCTGAAGGTTTTGACAACATAGGACCAATCCTAGTGTAAGAAATTGATATGTCATCAAGGGTATAAAAGAAGAAG